TGTCTGCATGTGTTTACCCGGTTCAGTATAATATGAGGATGTTGATCGATCTTCTTCGCACTGAATCTTTCATATGTCTGTTCGTATATCATGGCTCAGTAATGATTACTGATGAATATCACACATGTGCACTACACAGCCATACGTACACACATACATACACGCGTAGGCTAGTTTAATATGGGTTTCTTTTCCTGCTGCCACCACAGTATCACCATTGATTTTTCTGTTCTTTATGTTCTTCCATCGCTTGACTTTCGTTAACATTTTTGTTGACGTCACATGTCCATCACAGCCATTGGACATTAGGGATGACCAAATATACCGTTGTTCTTGCAATTTCCCATAGACGCGGCCGTATCTGCTAGAAATGATGATGCTGGATTGACAACTGAAAACCCATGTACTGGACGACTGCGGCCATCTCGGCTTGAGCACCACACAATGGGTTGTAGAAAAGGATCATATCAGGATACACAGAGAGTATTTTGAGGATACGCATATAACACAATATACTGGGAACATTCACTCAGTCAAGGGGGTTACGACTAGCTAATACACCCCTGAATGAACCATTAAATTAGCAGCTGTGCTAATATCATCTATAAAGGCTTGGCCAGCTTGGAATCATCAGTAACATCAATATACTTAAACACTAGCTTTTCGCGTCTAGAAGCAACAACGACCACAACAACATCGGCTTCATTGTGAGAATCGCGATTATGGACTATAAATCAACCGGTCTTACAATTCAAACTGTGTTTATGTACCGCATTTGATGAAATGGTACGTAGTGCTTTTGATGTTAGGTACGGTTAGCATCTTGACGTAAGCACTTATTGTTTTTTTTGGTTTTTTGAGCCGCCCTAAGCTGACACCCATATTTCGTATTTAAGGTGGGACAGACGGGGGGAGAGCTGACCAAGCTCAAGACTAGTAGTGGTCATGATGAAACCTTCGATTCGTGCTTATGGACATATTCGTTCTGGCCAGTGTTACTGCTACAACCGCTAGTACTAATTAATAATAACAAATGAATTCTTCAGCTAGCCCATTGTTTTCTCAAGCTTCAGCAGAAAGTCTGATTGACATACCAAACGAGACTCGACAATGCGGCTACTATTACCATGGACACGATGACAACCGCCGCATATCTAGTCTATACGAACACGAAAAGCCTTAAAAAGGCTGTCGTTGATGAAACTAGCGGAAGTCTCAAAGGACGCCTAATTGACTAAGGTCTCCGAAAACATCAAAGTTAGAAGTAGATATTCATATTTCAGCTAATTTTACGTTTATACGCAGCATCTACGATAGATATTGATTATAAACGACGTAAACTTCTATTTTGAAACCTGCCAACGAATAATACAAATTTGCCAATGAATAATACGTCGAACATCGGCATATTTTTTCAAATCAAACAAAACTCAGCACTTCTCATTAGGAATCATATCACTGTGTTCTGAGCGGCTGCTGTTAGCTATTACCGGATAGCCGCAACAGCGATCGTAGCTGGCACAGGGAGAAGCAACTTAAATCGGCTGCTGTCCTGAGAGTTGGCTTGACCGGTTTGAAGGCCCTGAACGCGTCAACGCCGAGATAAGACGATTTCGGCCGGCCGTTCGACTGTTCAGCTGGACACTCAACTGAGTCACGGGGGTGTTCCGGGAGCACGTACGATCACAAAAGGGGTGCACAATTACCACAGATACGGTTACAAGGTCTTGGCTGGCTATTACACCAACAGCTGTTCGGTGCTTCGGAACCAAGAACGTTAGGGACCTACCTTGAATTTGACGAAGTCCTCCACAGCCTTGAGAGCAGAGTCCGTAAGTTTGACGAAAATTAAAGTCCTATCTGAAGAGTTTGTACCCTCTGACGATAATCCATAGCGACAACCTTCCACCAGGGCCGCCATATTTGCCCGTCTCCGACATCCACTGGCCCGCAGAGCACAGTTCCAGTGCTTGTCGCACGTTGGGCGAAACTGCTGTTAAAGAACACAGTTGATTTTCGAAACCAACAAAATCAACCTGCACTTTTCATTCCGTTCGATTAGTTGAGGGACGAGAGCGTTTGCGCACACAAATTACAGTGCAATCGATGTGCGAGACTGGTTCCAATTAAACTGTCTTAATCCGCGGTACGATTGTGCCCTTACCATGTAAGGACTTGTGGCGCCCTCTGTGGCGCGCAGCCAAAGCTTATGCGCAGGTGGGGTGCCTGGTGGCCTGCACTAAACAGGTTGTGGCGGTGGGGCCGGAATGTGTCCGGTCGAACGAAGCAAGGGTTCGGACGCCAAGTTCGGTATTATTTAAACTAGGCTTTGTTTCCGACACCGATTTTTATTCCGTCGATTAAAGCAAGTTCCACAAAGTATATGAACTGAACTATCGAGTTTTTTTAACATATTTTTTTTTATTAATAATAGATAAATGTGTATATATATATTAATAAATAACATACAGTGAAAAGCCAAATTAGATTTTTTTCAGTGATTTATTCTATTTCCCGGCTCAATGCTCAACAAGGAATCACGCTTAGTGAAATCGACTACGGAGTTTATTACATAGTGTTATCTTATAAAACAAAAGATGTCGGCGAATGCTGGAAATGCTTAACGTTACGACTACGTACTTGAAGCCAGATTTCTCGTTGTAGTGTTGACTGGCTTCGTCATTTTGGCTACACATCGTACTCTTCGTGCCATTACGCTTGGAACTAAAAGAGATATATCAGATATATTTATATGAAATTATGATGAAAATGAGTGATCTCTACATTTTTGACTAAGCCGCTCCAGTTTATCCTCAGTTATGATTAATTTGTGTGGGATACCTATTTATCGGTTAAAATAATTGTTCTTTATAATAATTTATCAATTTATAGTTCATCAGCATACAACATTGGCCTACCTGTTCGTGCTGCTTGAAGGGCTAT